AAAAGACATCTGTGACAAGACATACTGAACAAAGCATTATTTGACCCCTAACTAAACATAGCTGCTTTATAAAAGGTTGTTTTTTTATATAATATTGCTAAACACTATTTCTGTAGCTCTTTTAAGAAAAGAGAGAACAGCAAGTGTTATTAAATCTGCGGTAGACATCATTCTAATCTGTGTCTGGGAAAGCATATGACACTTCCATCGTAACTGCCTAATTTGCTACTTAGGGACAGAAACTAATGCTACTTAATTGAAATAAAACCAGATGCACTGCTGAGAGCCTACCACCTTTAGAACTATGCTGAGCATCATAGGGAAAAAAGAAAAAAAAAAAAAGACCAGGTTGCACTTTGGCCTCCAGAAGAGACAAGGTAAACAGAAGGTGAGTTCAAAATGTTTGTGTTTAGAGAACTCCATGTGAATTGAAATGTGGCAAGGAGGAGCTTTCACAGAAGAGATGAACTTTGCTCAGTGGGTAAAATTTCACAAGGCAGTTTGGCAGGAAACACAAGCAAAGCAGCACAATGGATTCAAGGCTCAGTGGTTTTGAAGATAAAATTCAATCCCTCACTTCCATTTGGGGTGAAATATTGGGAAGCAGCAAAGGTGTCATCAGCAGGAAGGTCAGCTCGCCATCGGAGATAGACTTATTGACTTGACCAGCCAAGCCCAGTGTAATCCTCCATCCCCAATTCCATGTCCTTCACAACACACATTTCGGCTGTCACCTCTCCTAATTATCTTGCTTACCTGTCAATTCTAAGGAGTCATCTAGGGATAAAGCGACGCCCTCAGAAACCAGGACTGAGTCTGGGGAAGGGGCTGAAGAAGTTATGGGGCTGGAGGATTCTCACTAGGGATGTCAGCTCACTGCTGGCCAAGAGTGGGGCCCAGATTCAGTCTTCTCCTTTTGTTCCCCTGGTCCCAAAGTATCCTGGAACAGTGCTTTCTGGTTGGGCTATGAGCTTTCATGGTGGCAATCTTAGTTGGTTCAGGAACCAGACGGCAGAGGTGTTAGCAGCTTGGCAGGAAGATCAAGGAAAACATCTGAAATTCTGTCTCCCTCTTCCAGCTAGCAATAATCAAGAAGACCCTTCAGTTTCAGTACTATCTTAAAAAGGACTCCTGTACCCAAAGGAAAACCTTTGTATAGGCCAGCATTCAGTTTAAGACTTTTGGCCTTGGTTTCTCAGTTCATGAACTCTGATTTGATGTTCTGTGACCTGAACAAACTCTGATCTGATATTCTCTTTTTTCTTCCCGAAAAAAAAGTGCATTAGAGGTATGGTGATTTCCAGAGCATCCCTGAGGAAGTGTGAATCTGTTTGTGTGGCCCTGTCTACCATGTATTACAAGGATTTATGGGTCTGCCTTACTCTCCCCTACTAGACCATCTGGATGAATCACCTCAACATTCTCTACCTTGCTCAGTCTAAAAACTTATCCTGGGGAAACATTCAATAAATAGATATAGGCATCAATGGCCATACCTCCCTGAATGTGCCCGATCTTGTCTGATCTTGGAAGCTAAGCAGTGTCAGGCCTGGTTAGTACTTGGATGGGAGAATAAATAGATACACCTTGGCTAAAGGAACACAGCAGTGAGAGAATTCCAGTTCTTGCCACCTTCCCACTGCCTAGAAGACAGAAGACTGAGGTCTTGCTAAACCTTTATTTACCACCACTCTTTACCACTGTGTCCTTTCCTAGACCCTGCCTGTGCAGCTCTTCCTAAATGCCTCAGCATCCAAGTGTATTTTCAGACCTTAACCCTGTCAGTGCCTTTCTCCTGGACCATCCTGCTACAAGCATTTAACAGTGACACATCACTAGAGGGGATGCCAGGGGGTGGGTGGGGAAGGTATCACATTGCATGGAACAGGAAGGGTACAATCAGGTGGATCATGTTGTGTGGTCCCATGATCCAACTGCCCACAGCCCTTCTGGAAAAGTGACGGTGTCTACTCCTACCTATTTCCAGGAAAGTAAGTTCTATAACTTCAGGCAACCCATTCCTATGTCTAAAATTCATTATGTCCCCTAGTAATTGAGGTCTCTTTCACCTACTGGCAAAAAGACCAATGGAAGGTTAACATCTAGACTAATGGTTCTCAGGGTGTGGCCTCTGGACCGGCAGCATGGGCAGTACCTGGGAACTAGGTTAGAAATGCCAATTCTTGGGTCCCATCCCAGACCGACTAAATCAGAAACTCTGGGCATGGGCCCAGCAATCTGCTTTTAACAACTCCTCCAAGTGATTCTGATGCTCACTCCTTTGAGAACCCCTGGTCTATACAATGGGGCTATGAGCATCATGTGACTATATCAGTAGTCAATTTTGAATCACCTGCTTGTTTGGCTTAGGTTCCTTCTGTTTGTTGCTGCTTGTCAGGAAGAGATATCCCCTGCATTCCACAGATCATGTGAACTGTCAACTGGAGAGGATGGGACACAACATTCACAGGCCACTGGGCTCCTGGAAGCTGAGGCTATTTGACTTCGAAGAACTACACACAAGATCCTAATTAATACATTTGTCAAAAGCTGCTCCTTCTTGTGACAATTCTAGCAGAGACTTCGGTGACAGCCATGCACTTTTATGGATTTTAACTGAGTAATTAATAGGATAACAGTTACAAGTGCAAGTTAAGTGCATATTATTTCTACTGGATTGGGTCATAAATAAGTAATATAGCTTTTGAAAGTGAATGGGAAGAGACGCTTGAAAAGAGAGACCTATTGGGAGCTGAGTGAGGGAGCCCAGACTTAATTTGAAGCTCTACCTTCTCATTTTAGCAAAGCAAGCATTTCCACAAGGGATAAGCCGAGACCATGGCGGTTTCTGTTTCACTTTGTGCTGCAGCTGCAGCCAAACATCGACAATGTGCCAAATGGAGACATTTTTGAAACTGTTCTCCTCTCTCAGACATTAAAAGCAAAAATGACTCTTCAATATACCAGAGGTAAGGAAGAAGGAGGAACATCAGCAAAGACTGAGGACTACTTTACAACACAGTTACATAGACCATTCGACACTTTTCTCTTTTCCCAGGTCCCCAAGGCTAACGCCTGCCTCAACCACAAACTCCTGGGCTGCCCTAGGACGTAGAGGGCCACTCCCCTGTTCCAAATCCACTCGGGGTCTCGGGGCCACATCACATCTTTTGTGGGTCCTGAGCACTTTTGCTTTCACAAGCTCCTTTCTCCATAAGAAAAAAATAAAAATAAAAACTACATTTTATGATTTTGTTAGTATTAAGACAAATTGGTTATGTGTTCATTATTCTTATATTTATTTTGTCCTGATTTGAAAAGAAATAAAAAGGAAAGCAGTTTCGTCGATCCCTACAAGTGCTGTGGGCCTGTGGTTGTTTCCTACGGCTGCTGGAACAAAGTCCCACTCACTGGTGGCTTAAGACAGCAGAAGTGTATTGTCTCACAGACTGGAGGCTGGAAGTCCACGATCAAGTTGCTGGCAGGGCCACACTTCCTCTGAAGGTGCTGGGGGAAAATCCATGCCAGTCCTCTGTCCTAGCTTCTCAAAGTCCTCTGTCTTGTGGCAGCGTAACTCTGATCTTCACAAAGCATTCCCCCGTGTGTGTCTGTCTTCAAATGACCCCCTTCTATAACCACACCAGTCATGTCAGATTGGAGGCCCACTCTGTGCCATGATGACCTCATTTTAACTTAACTAATTGCTCTGAACAGCCTTATTGTCAAATAAGGTCATATTCCAAGGTACTAGGGATTAGAATTTCAAAATATATAAGTTTTGAGGAAGAGGGACACAGTCCAACCCATAACACAGGGCTGTGGCCTTGTGTCTAATGAGAAAGTCACCTCTTACAAGGGCCTTCTCTGGGATTCTGAAGACCACATAGAAACCCAGGGTCTTCAGTAGCAGCAAAAATGAGATAAACACCCAGGGGTTGGGGAAGATACATTTTTGGTTTGAGGTTGGCTGCAGTGGCTCACACCTGTAATGCCAGCACTTTGGGAGGCCCAGGCGGGTAAATGACTTGAGCTCAGGCTTGAGACCAGCCTGGGCACCATAGCGAAACCCCATCTCTACAAGAAAAATGCAAAAATTAGCCAGGTGTGGTGCTGGTATACACCTGTAGTCCCAGCTACTCGAGAGGCTGAGCGGGTATGATCACTTGAGCCCGAGGAGGCAGAGACTGCAATGAACCCTGATCACACCACCGCACTTGAGCTGGGTGACACAGCAAGACCTCATCTCAAAAAAAAATTTTTTTTAAAGGAAATACTTCACCACACTTCAGGAAGACTTTGTGTGGACTAACTCAGTCTGGGGGAAGGTGAACTGCTCTCAATGCCCCACTTCAAACGAGTGCCTTGCCTTGGGGACCTCTCAGTCTCTGATTTAGGAGCAAACCTTCCTCCGCCTTGAGCTCTTCATCATGCTTATTTACCACTTGTCCTGGGAGCTGAGCCCCACTAGGTAATGAGAAAGGAAACGATTTCTTTTTTTTAAAGAAATCTGATTTTCATGGAGCCATGTACTTTCATGCTCTTTTCCCCAAATGAACTAGCTTTTTCCCTCTCCTGAAAGAAACATTCAGCTCGCCCCTGGGTCTTCACTGACAATCCAAAACAGAGGGGTAGAAAGAGAGGTTCCATCCAAAGAAAGCGACTTGTCCGTCTCCCCTGGACACCACCCTCTCTTCTCACCTGACTCTTCTATTAGAAAGGAGAGAGACAGCAGGGGAGACTGGAATGGATACTTGAGATTATCACTCCCTTTTTTTTCGCTTCAGTTTTTTAAAGTTACTATCAGTCCATGGCAACAAAGGCCTCTGAATTCTTTCTCAGTCTGTGGCTCAATGGTTTCATTCTCAAGGGAGTCTATAAACCCCAACAACATGTGGGCTACGCAGCTTGTTACCCCCCCACTTCAGAAGAAAAATCACCTCGCACAAAAACAGCCAAATAAAGCCACACAGTCCGAGAAGGCCTATCAAGTGGGAACTGAAGCAGTGCGTGAACTTTGCCTGGCCACTGAAATTGCAAAATCTCCAGCTCATTCGCAGACACACAATTGGGTCTGGCAAAACCATTCACAGTCCTGGATGTGAACTGGAGCCTACGACAGGGAAGGCACCAAGGACAATGCCAGTGAGGCTGTGTCGAAAGCTGGGCTGTCTCTGAAATGGTTCTCTCCAAGCAGGCTGAGGTCAATAACAGGAATTGCTTTGAGAGTGTGCGTGCCAAAAATGAAGAGCCTGCCGTTTACATGGAGGAGCTGTTGAAACCACCCCAGGAAGACTTTATCTTTCGGCGCAAATTATAATAGAAAAATGGCAGTGGCACTCTGAACCATAAGTCTCTTAGGTTTTTTGGGCTCACTTTTAAAGAAATGTGACATCGCTAGGTACATAGGCGGGACCGAATGATGTATTTCTTGTAGCTGTCTGCTCTTCGTAGCGCCTCAGTCTCACGGCTTTGCAGGTTTTATGACCATATCGAAGGAGCTAGCAGAATCCTGTTGGTTGGACTGCTACCAACAGGGCTTGGGTTGGTTAACCTACCGGACCAACCTGAAAGGTCGAGCAAACCCCAGTGACAAGGCAGCTGTGGTGCTTTTTGAGGCCGTGCAATCCATTCACCTGTGTTTCCGTGGTGTTGAACAATTGCAAAATATAAGCCCTAGGCATTCTTCTTAGGCAGTGGCAATGGTGTGGTTTAGAGTGAATGGACACTCCATGCTCCAGGTCGGTGACAAACCATTTGAGTTACTCCCAAATCCTCTCCAAATGCTTCAAGTGACTAATCTTACAACACTGACCATTAACAAATAATGTGGGACAGGAAGAGAAAGTTCAGTGAACCAATGACTCAATTCAGTTCCCAGCCAGAAGCTTCATGGTGCACAGAGGCCAGTGTCCTACAGAACAGTGGCTCTTGCTTCATACGACCTTGAGGCTTTCTTCACCTTGGAGGAGCTGCGTGCGGTCTCCGGCTCCTCCCTCCCTCAGAGGAGAAAGACCGCTTACTCGCTGTTCATATGATCTCTGATAATATGAGACTCAACAGGCCATGGGTTTCAGAGGTTTTTTTTTGATGCTATGAAAAACATGTACCCCAAAACCTAAAATGCAATAAAATTAATAAAAAAAGGGGGCAAAATGCATTGAAGGGATGCTATCAAAGATAGTTATTATCAGCAAAAGAAAGATTTACCTTGTAGATGCCTCACTCTGTGGCTTCTCAAAGACTGAAGGAAACCTACCTCCAGCCAGGCCATTTTCTGAGAATTCCAACATATTAAAAAGTGAAGAAATGCCATAACAGAAACATAAAGATTTTTAAAAAATATTTATGTTCAGCAAATTAACATCTTCAAATAATAGGTTGAATGATATTAACTTGTTGCTTATAGAGGTCAAATTCATAAACGAAGATATAATACAATGTAATGTGCTAGTCACAAAATAATTATGCAATTCATAAAAAATATTTATTCCTGGTTTACTGTAAGAAGAGTGGTCCAGTGATGGAACTCAAGTTTAAAATAAATGAGTTTTTTCAGTTGTGTCAATGTATCTTTATGATGTATGAATAAATGAATTCTAAGATTAAAAAAAAAAAAAAAAGAAAACCAAGATCAGGGGAAAGTGAGATGGGTCTATGCCTCCTTGGGTAAGAGCTTCTAGAGAATGGAATAAAGCAAAGGATAGGGTCAGACCGACCAAAAATTCTCATCAACACTGCTCAGAAGGTTGTGGTCCAGGGCAGAGACTGCTTCTGGTTCCTCCCTGTCCGGCCCTGGAAATGTAGAGGCTTATACCTGGGGTGTTAGTAAATGCCCATAATTCCCAAAAGCAGGTCTGGTTCCCTAGCCTTACTGCAGAGGCGTGGGAGCCACACCTCATTGGCCTAATGGACCCGGGAGTTGGTCAAAGAGATGCAGCCCTCTCCCTGGAATTTCGGAGCCTCAGGGACCTTCTCACTGTCTTCATCTTCTCATTATTCAAGTGGGAGGCCTCAGCAACCTTGTCTTCTTTCCACACATCCTGCATGGCCACAGCTGACCCCCTCACCCGCCTCAGAACACCTGTGCAAATCTCCTTGGGAACCAACATGCCACTCCCTGCCAAGCCTCCTCAGCACAGCCCTGTGAGTTCCTTCCCTCTCAGCTGGACAGAAGTTTCTCTCATAGCATTTATGTAACTTCTGAAACCCCACCTCCTCCAAGAAGCCATTCTAGATTGATTAGAGAGAAATGCAAATAATTCCTGCGGCTACAACTGGAGATATATTTATCTCTATCTCTCTGTATATATAGATACATAGTGTATGTATTAGGAGTTATCATCTTCAACAACCACCAAGTTTCTTGGTGTCTCCTCACTGTCACCCACATTGAATGCTGTTATTCTTTTAAAAAGTGAAAATAACTTTAATGTTTTACTGATTATAAAAACATTACATGCTCACATAAGCAGGTAGTTAGGTAAGTGCAGAAATCTATTCAGAAGAATATGAAAATCACACAAACCCCACGATATACAGACACAACTTTCCTTTCTAACTGATAGGTAAAAATGGTATATATTTATGGTGTACAACGTATTTTGATACATGTATACAGAGTGGAATGGCTAAATCAAAGCAAGCTATTTAACATGCATTACCTCACAGACATCATCTTTGTGATGAGAATTCTTAAAATCTCTCACAGTAATTTATAAATATGTATCATTATTAATTGTAGTCACTATGATGTTCAATAGATCTCTTGAACTTACTTCTTCCGTCTGACTAACATTCTGTGTCCTTTGACCAACATCTCCTCAATCCCCCCAATGCTCCGTCTCTGCTAACACCATTCTCCTCTTTGCTTCAATGAGTTTGACTTTTTAAGATTCCACATATAAATGAGATCACGTAGTGTTTGTCTTTCTGTGCCTGGCTCATTAGTTCACTAACTTAATGTCCTCTAGGTTCATCCATGCAGCTGCAAATGACCAGGATTTTGTGCTTTTCAAACTGGAATAAATAACATTCCATTGTGTATATATACCATGTTTTCTTTCTCCATTCATTATTTGATGGACACTTAGATTGATTTCATATATCGACTACTGTGAATAATTCTGCAATGAACATGGGGATGCAGATACACAGAAACAAGTTATACGATATGCCTATTTACGTAAATGTATTTATTCTTTTTTTTTTTTTTTTAGATGGAGTCTCATTTTGCCTACCAGGCTGGAGTGCAGCGGCACAATGTTGGCTCACCGCAACCTCTGCCTCCGGGGTTCAGGAGGTGATTCTCGTGCCTCAGCCTCCTGAGTACGTGGGACGACAGGTGCATGCCACCACGCCTGGCTAATTTTTGTATTTTTAGTAGAGACACGGTTTCACCACGTTGGCCAGGCCGGTGATGAACTCCTGACCTCAAGTGATCTGCCTGCTTCGGCCTCCCAAAGTGCTAGGATTACAGGTGTGAGCCACTGCACCCGGCCAGAAATGCATTTATTCATGACTGATATTAGCTCTATGACACTGGCAAAAATTAAACTGAGGCTAGTTTCCATAGCAAAGCAGAAGTAGCTACTTATTAATTGGTCCTATTTACATGCCTACCATGAAAGAATTATTTTTAGGCTTAAGTGGAAACCTTAAGCTTGACTAAGACTATCATAAGAAAACGGTGAACAGCATATCTACTTGAAGTGGAAGATGAGTGAGCTTCAATCCCATTGTCACTCCGCTACAGACACTGATGAGGCTTATAAAGGCAGGAAACATTAGTTTGAGTAAAAAAAAAAAAATGACTGAGGTTGACAAAAGAAGTACCCGCAAGGCATGGTGAGTGGATCTGCCAATCTCTCTGCCCGTCTCCAGACAGTATGACTCTGATTCTAAGCCCAGATTTAGTGGGAGGCCCTGCTGCCACATCTCACGTATGGCTGAGCTCGGTTAAGGTCCGTGGTCACCGTCTCCGTTTCATGCATATATGACAAGGAGAAAGTGATTTGCAGCTTCTCCTTCTCTCGTGCTTCTAGGGAGAAGAGAACCTCTGTCCAATTTTATCCGGAGCCTTGTTTTTCCAATCAGAGTCATGGAACGGGGATGAAAGAGAAGAATAAAAACAAGCCAAGACCATCTGATTAGTTTACATAGGAGAGACCAGACTCACAGGAGGGGAAACGCTACATCTGTAAGATAAAGGGTAGGTGAGAAAAATGTAAGAATCAGAAAGCACTAGATTTAAAAAAAAAAGTTCTGGGAAACTTCTTTTTTTCTTTTTTCTTTTTTCGAGGAGAAGTGATGAAGGCAGCTGTCATATTGTGATAGGTGGAATTTTGAGGAGATAGATGGATAAAGAGATTTTTCAGAAAATCTGCTGTAAGCTGTGGATGAAACTCTTCCTTTAGCATTTTCTGAAAGACCGTAATAAAGATATACATTGCTTTTAAGTGATTTTTGAAAACCAACGTGTGCTTCTTCGGGGATGACACTGTGCTGACACGGGGACACGCGGCAGCTCCGTTTTATACAAGTTAGGTAGAAACCCCTGTGTTGTTTGCTTAGGGGTTCCACACCCATGCAGCTGATTCAGCTATATCCAGGGAGGCATCTTGTTATAGTTACAAAAGCTCTGAAGTAGGAACCTGAAGACCTGCATTTGAGTCCTGGTTCTCTCTCTCACCAGCTGAGTGGCCTACGGCATGTCACCTACCCTCCCTAAATTCGGTGCCCTCACCACCAGCTGGGGCAAGGATGGCGCTATCTGCCTGCGCCCTGGACGTCTATGAGAATCAAGTACTGTAAGGGTATGTCAGCTTGCTCCGAGGACTGTGAAGAGCCACCCAAATCATTACTAATTAAGGCCTCTTGGACAGCACGATATTCACCAGCTTACTGTCCTGGTGATAGCAATGGTGGCTGGGATGGTTCCGAGACTGTCCCTGCTCAGGGCCATTAGCAATTCTTCTCTGCTCCTTCCTGGTATCTTCTCTGAGTCAGGAGGCAGGGAGGAATAAACTCAGTCCTAGGAAACCTACTGGGAACTGGACAACTTCCCCACCTCATTTCACCCAGGGCCTCCACCGCTGATTAAATGGAAATGCCGGAGGGCATGATGGGCCCAGGCCAGGATTCTCCTGAATCCAGCCTATGCCTGGCCACCGTGCCCTGTGCTGCTGGTGACCTCACCCGCTGGCTCCCATCTCAATGGATGGCTCTTTCTGAAAGGCCATTTTGAGACTCGTCTTGAGAGTGCTTCATTCATGCTGGCTGAAGTTCTTTCTTCTTTGCTCAAAATTAACTCTACTCAGCCCAAGGCAGCCAAAAAGAAACCGAGCTAGACATGAGTGAGTGAAGACCTTGCATACTCTAAATCTGTTTCCAGGGGAGTTTTCTCTGCTTTCCAGGATTCCAAGAGAATGTCATCCAACCTCAGACGCAACTGCTAGGCTGGAGCCAAGAGCCCACCTTCTGTGGAGGCCTCTCCTAACACGTTCCCAGTAATCCTGAGATCTGCACCTCCCTGTGCAAAAGTAGTCAGACCCATGTCCGGGTATCTATCTGCTGCCTCAGAAGCAGACCTTTCCTTTTTGTTTTTAGCTGCTGAGACCAAAAACTTGGCTGATTCTGTCTCTGGTCTGAGGCAAGAGTCCTTGCATCTGATTTTCCTAAGAGGCAGCCCAGAGGCTGGTCAATAAGAAGCTGGCCTGCTTTCCTTGGCCTCGGTACGGCCAGTTCTGCCCTCCCTCTGAGCCAGGCCAAGAGCAACCAGGGCCCAAAGCAGCACCAGGATCTTGAATTAAGACACAGGCAACTCATTTCACTTTCCTGGCTGCCTCAACACAGCTGTCTTGTCAGCCTGTGTCTCAACCTCTTGAGCGATTCCAGCTGCTGAGCCATGCCTGTAGACACAGCGACATTTGGTTTCTGTTAGAACAGATCGGTGTGTTCACCTGCTTCATTTTTTCCTTCCTGCACAAAGACAGGGACAGAGGCAGCCAAAAACTGATGCTGCTGATTTGGAGATTTCCCATTCTGTTGCATGACTTCATGCCTTGGACTGGCTGCTGCTGGGTCTTTCAAAGCCACTTTATTTCCTGTGTATTTCCAGCACTCAGCCAAAAAGAATGTACAGTATGAAAAAAATGTCTACTACCCCCAATTGCAGACCCTCTGCAAAAAAAAATACCTGGAGGGCTTTTAAATAAAAGAAATAATTACAACCTGCTGAGTTCCTTACAGAATCCATGAAACTCGACCTTTTCCAAAATATCACAGTATTTCCTGTGGCTTCTGTAGGCTAAGCCTTCGTAGATTTATAAGTATGTCTCCAACACAGTCTCTGGGCTCCATTTTTTTAAATCCAAAAGTCAGATTTGAAAAGCACAAATCCACACTCTTGGAAGACAGCATCCCAAAAGGTGTTAAGTGAAAACCCAGCTGTAAAAATATAGGCCGCCAGCTGTCAGGGGTGGTGGACCCATGTGCATTTTTTTTTTTTTAATTTAATGAATGGAGATTTGCTCCTCCAGCTTGCTGCCCAGTTGTAGCTTTTCAGAAGCTGAACGTGTCAGGTGTGCTCTGCAGATGTGGATAGTTGCAGCTTACAACTACATGGTGGGTGGAGAGTGGTTTATGAGCCTTGAGATTCATAAATTCTGGTCTCTGGAACTCACAATATAAGCTCGTTAAAAATTGGAAAGGGAGGGAAGAAAAACATTCTGACCTTAAACTACCTGTGATCAACGACGCAGACTCCTGGTAGCCGGACCCAAGAGAAAACAGAAACCTTTGAAAGACAAACCCAAGGAGACAGAAGTTTCTACTGACTTTCCAGAAGAGGTAAAGATTCTAAGCCTAGGTTCACTGTGCATGACTACGTCTTGCTGAGACTATGTGTGGACAGATGAGATGAAATAGAGGGTGGTACAATTAAATGGATGCTTAGTCTTATGTAGACCATCTCAGATAGGCGGTCATAAAAGTATCTTTCCTCAGGTGGTTTTGAACAAATAATTCAGATTATTATTTCAACTTCATGCTCTAGGTTGCCTACCTTAGTTAAACCCAAGGAACAAGAGACTTTATTTCCAGTGGGGAAGAGTCGAATTCCATATCAATTTACTCTGAATAAAATAGTGAGTACAAACTCACTGATGGACTCTAGTTAGTGTCAGCCTTGGGCTGAATTGGGAACTGATTACCATTTGTGTTCACAGCCTTCTGTCCTCCCCTTTTGTTCCCCTTAACCCCTAATGTTAGAGACCCTCTATTAAAGCTTGGCAGCACCCCCGGCTGGGAAATATCCCCCTGCTCAATCTCTTCTCTAAAAAACCAATGAAGTGATTTCGGTTAAGGTGAAAACAGCTGAGGATGGCCCACCTCCCAGATAACAGCAACGTTTTAATCCTTAAGGGAGAGTTCCAAAAGAGTTGAAATCCTTGGAAACAAGGGAAGCTGAGATCTTTTTAACTGGGAGATGGGCCTGTTCAAGGTTTGTTACCTGCCAGCTTCAAGGGAGTATGAGAACACTGCCTGAGAGATGGCAGTGAATGGATGAACTTGATTTAATCCCTAAATCAAGTGCAGGGCTCCAGTGACTGGAAGAAGAGCAAAGAAAATGAAACAGATGTTTTTAAATTGGCATCTCTTTACTTAGCCTTGCTCTATTAAATAGAAGAATATATACAACTATTTTTATGCAGAAAGAAAAATTCTAACATGCCCCAATCACCTGCCACAGACACTTTATAAACTTCCTACCATTTGGACTTGCTTCCACCATTTCAGGATTTCAGAATAGACGAGGCAGTCCCATGTGGACCACAAGAATGACTACTGTGCGTTAGGAGAGGCTGTTTTGAGACATGCAGCGTGTGATTACTGGAGGACACAAGCGAGGCACGGAGTAGAATACACAAACAGGCCATGGTAAGCTCTCAGATGAATTGTCTTGGGCTCCCAGTTAAGCTACAAATCAAGTAGGTAGAACCTTTCTTGTTTCTATGCCTTTCCTTTAGGGATCTAATTCTTGGTAAAGCAACTCAGGAAGAAAAAAAAATAATAATGCTTCTTTGTTTCTAGGACTTGGCCTTTTGTTTTATAATTAATATAGATTCCCACCCAATGCATAAATGTTTAAAGCATCATTTATATTGCATTGCCCACTTGTTAAAGTTTAAAATGTTGCAAATAGCCAAGAGTCTGTGCTTTAGTTACAAGCAAACTTGCTCACCCCATGGTCTTAATCTCCAGCAAACAGTGGCATAAATGAAACTCGGGGTCCACTTTGTATTTGCTGTACATCCTTTGCCATTATAAAGTAAGATGAAAAGATGTGCTTTTAAGTCAAAGCCTAGCTTAGAATATTATAAGTATGTACATATATGTGCTGACCTACGATATGTGTGTTTGCATGTGTGTACACGTCTCTATCATATAGTTTATAGAGAAATAGATGAAAAAAGTAGTCCTAATCCAATACTGGTATAATTGGCAAAAAAAACAAAAAAAACAAAAAAAAGAGGCACAAGGAGATATAATCTCGTGCCTTCAAATATAGGGATTATTTTGTTAACAAGGAAATGGGTCCAGAGATTGAACCATCTGCATTCTAAAGACCATATGCAAATAAAGTAAGAGGTTCTTCTTCACGTGGTTCTTAGATACGTTAATGTTCCACGTCTCTTTGACTTATATGTCAACTCATCGGCGGATTGTGCAGTGGTTTCAAATCAAGGCAGCCTCAGTCAACTTGTCCTGGGCTGGGTTCTTGACTAGGTTCCTAACCTGTCCTTAACGGCCAATCCAGCTCCTGGTTCAGTAACTGAGTCCTTGTTTGTTCTATCCTGGTTCGTGTTCTAGGCCTCCCCGGTCTCAGACCGGTTCCTCTGAATCTCAGTCTTACCACCGTAATTTTTAGGCAGTATGGATTTCCATTACAGGGTTCTAGTGCAGGAAGCATGGCATTGATAATGGGAAGTTGGTGTATGTTTCAGCAATATCTCCTTATTAAAGGGGGAGATAAGTCTGCACTGGTGAGAATGTTTGAATTCTAGAATATTTTAAAAAGAGGAAGCTCCAGTGTTTTCCAGTACACAGGGGAATGCTAGATAGCTGCAAAGGAGTTTCCTGGTTACTGTAATCAAGGTATAAGTGATTGTCAGTATTTTGTGTAATAGGTACTCATGAATTTTAGTAAATATAAGAATTACCCAGGGAGCTTATTAAAATGCACACTCTGGCCAGGTACAGTGGCTCATGCCTGTAAACCCAGCATTTCGGGAGGCTGAGGTGGGTGGACCACTTGAGGTCAGGAGTTCAACATCAGCCTGGCCCACATGGTAAAACCCTGTCTCTATTAAATATACAAAAAAATTAGCCAGGTGTGGTGGTGGATGCCTGTAGTCTCACCTGAAGGCTGAGGCAGGAGAATCTCTTTGACCAAGGAGGTGGAGGTTGCAGCATGCCACTGCACTCCAGCCTGAGCCACAGAGCTAGATTCCATCTCAAAAAAAAAAAAAAAAAAAAAAAGACATTCCTAGATTCCTAGAGTCCATTCCCAGGGTTCCTGATTCAGAAGCTATGGGGTGTAGTTTATGAGTTGTGGACTTTCCCCCTATTCTCTCTTGGGTAGAATTTTGAGAAACATGGCTCTACGCCTTCATTGAGCAACATCCATATATAAATTACAAATTGTAATTTCATACAGACTATTATTGTTATAAAAATATTTACTGTCTTTAAAAAGTTTAGTCTATCCCTTACAATCTCACTTGCACCATTAATTCTTCCAGTAAATTATTTCTATAAAACATAGATGTAAAAGTTAACATACCCTGATCCAGAATGAATTACCACAAATTGCTCTAAGCAGGGATGAAATGCAAATTAATGAGATTTCTGTAAATGCTTATTTTTTTCTAACTAATATTCTATAGTGGTGAGTTATGATATGTAGTCAAATATTGAACTGTTTTAGCTATTTCAGGAGATTAATTTAAAGGCTATTTTTATACTAGCTAAGAGAGGGAGAGTAAGCTGATGATCAATTTAAGTAACCCTTGCCTTAACAGATTAAATTTTGTGGGAAAAAGTAAATGCAAACCAGAATTGCCCAGGTAAATGTTGCAGGGTGTCTGTTAGCACACAGATAGTGTCTCCTTTTACCAGGAGATAAGACAGAGAGAAATCTGTTCCCTGATTTTAGATGTCTAATAAATAACAAAAAGAATAATGACAATAGCTAATATTAGGGCTGGGTGCAGTGTCTCATACCTGTGATCCCAACATTTTGGGAGGCCAAGGCAGGAGGATTGCTTGAGCCCAAGAGTTCAAGATCAGCCTGGGCAACATAGTGAGACCCCATCTCTACTAAAAATAAAAAAGTTAGCCTGACGTGGTAGTGTGCACGTGCAGTCCCAGCTACTCAGGAGGCTGAGGTGGACGAATTGCTTGAGTCTGGAATGTCAAGGCTGCAGTGAGCCATAAGCACACCCGTGCACTGCAGCCTGGGGAACAGAGCAAGACCCTGTCTTGAAAAGAATATAGCTAATATTAGTCCAACCCTTTCTATGTGCCAAGTACATTTGATTTGTTATTTCATTTTATCTTCACAACACCCTACAGATGGATACTATTATCAGCTCAAGTTTACAGTTGAGGAAACGGAGGCTCAAAAAAGGTTAAGTAATTTGCCCAAAGTCACAGAGCCAAATCTGACACCAAAGCCTAGGAGTCCCAGGTCACATCTACAGCTGAGAAAGGACTCACGCTTCACGCTGCCAATGGTCTCCTCTATCGGTATTTCCTTTGTTTTAGGCCTAGCTAAAACCTACAGTTTGAAGAGTTCATGCTGAATGAAGTGACCTACAGAGAATAATTCTGCAGATAATTTTCTTTAGGAAACAGAAAAAGAATCTCTTCTAAAATTTCAGTTTCAATATATTTTTGCAAGCACATTTTTGTCCCAGTTGCTACCATGTGCAACCTTGTCTGAATCTGGTGGCCAAACCACAGTGAGCATTCTGTCCAGGGACAGCAGCGGTTTTGGGCAGCCTAATAATTAGGACTCTCCATGTACATAATCTTTCAGGCAGAGAGGACATGACATTGAGATTAGATTAGAGGAGAAAGAGTGAAAGAGGACCGCGGATCGTAATCTATTCCCTTTTGTGATCAACATGTAGAAAACAGTTTCAGAAATGTATTTTCATTTTTCACTGAAAAAAATATTTGTATCCCCTTCAGGGAAGGCAAGAAAAAGTAGCACTCAGTATCCTAGCAGTTGCTTCAGAAAGAGGAAATCGGCTGGCCCTCTGCCATGCATGCTTCATACCCAAAGCCACCTAGGTCCATTAACAGTCCTCTGAGGTGCGGAGGGCGGGGGAGGAGTCATGCATCTTAGTTCCAACTCCAAGTTGGGGGTCTCGTTACCCCACGATACAGGGATTCTTTCATTCCACTGTGAGGACCTGGATGGCAGAAGGCATTTTCAAGCAGGCAGTGAGGAGAGCGGGGAAAAAAGGCAGGTGGGGGCTTGAATGTAAGACAGTGCAGAGGGCCTGAGAGACCAGGAGAACAGGGAGAGGCCACAGTTGGAGGCCCCAAGGAGTATGTCTCCTAACAGCCTTCAGCTGAATGTCCTTTTCCTTCCCATAGTGGGGCATCTGTCTCCACGCCCTGTCCGTGTTCACCTTGTTCTGCCTCCTTTGACTGATTCCAATGCTGTTGTCATGCATTGATTACTTATGGCAAATAACGTCAGGAGGAATTGGCAGTTGCGTGAAGATCGGTGGTGGGAGAAAGAAGTGAGACTAGCAGGAAACGGATCATCATTATTATTTAATTAAGCCTTGCTATTACAATAATAAATAATAACAATGAGAATAATAATAATGACCATAAACTAGCATTTAGTAGGTCAGGCACTATGCCAACCATTTAAAATATGCATGCTTATTTAATCTTCATGCTATTTTGATCAGTATTTTCATTATGCCACTTTACAGATGAGGATGTTGCGGCGTAAGGAGGTAAGTACCTTGACCAAGGTCCTGGGCAGCTGAGTGGTAGTGCTGGGGCCTAGATCCCACATTCTGACTGCAGACTGACTCCAGTGCCTGCTATCTTGACCACCACGTGCCTGACTTTCACAGGTGTTAGCTTCCTGCATCCTCAAGGCACCAGGCTAACTAAGCGTGGCTCTCCCTTCTTACAGATGAAGAAACTGAGGCTCAGAAACAGTAAACAAACTGCTCGTGGGGAAGAACAGAGTTGAGGAACAAAAACAGCCTCTAAGTTCCTCTACCACAACTGCATAGGCCACTCTGTGAAACACACTCTGAGTAAGGATGGGACTTTATTTCTCACTGCTATGACTCCATGTCTAGGTAGAAGCAGAAGCATTTGGGAAGGGGAAAGAGATCCGACCACATGCATTAGGAGGCAGGGAAGCTGTATGCATGTAACATATCTCCCGGGGCTCCCATCACTTGAGAGGGGAGCCATCAAAGTGGCTTTGATACCTTTGATATCTCCAATGTTCATTCCGTTAATCCATGCATTCACCAAGTACTTACTGAATACCAATTCTGTCTCAGGAACTCTGCTGGTAACTGCGAATACCAATGGACACGGTCTCAGCCCTAGGAGCTTATGTCCTAGTGGAAGATGGAAATAAAAACAGCCACTGTGCTCTGAGGGCCTGCATGGGCAGGCACTGGCTCTCCACCCTTCATCCATTACTGTATTTGAATCTCACAACCACCATGCCAGTGTAGGTGTCTCTATCTCTATTTCATAGATGAGGAAATGGAGCCCAGATGAACTAAACGACACTATGCCAAATCACAGTAGCAAGCAACGAGATTGGAATCCAAACCTAGGTTTTCAGAATTTAAATCCATACTACATGAACAAGAGTTTGGGGAGAGGAAACAGATCCAGCAACCTGTGTTAGGAGACGGGGAAGCCATATGCG